AAAAACTGTGGGCCATTTGAAATAGAAATTTCAGTGTTGATATTTCAAACAACTAACGGTACTCCTAAATTTCTATATGAGCAATGAAGTCGGTAGTGTTTTTTGTTTGTTATTGAATAATTTGGTCAAAGATGTAAACTTGGGAGTATTAATCGCAATTCCAAAAATTCAAAATAACCGCTCTTGACTGTTTTATCGATATTTGTCACATCCATAATTTTTAAGAAAAAATTAACAAAAAACAATTAAGTCCATTGCTGTCAGCTTTAGTATGAAATTAAGCTGTGTGCAAAATTTTAGCCTGACTCTTACAATATATTGATTAGTTTTTTGTATCCCACTCTCAATTCTTTATAGTTTCTTAATACCAGCTGTGTGAACTGCACAACTCTCTAATAATACCATTGAACCTGAGATCAGTTATCTAACTTTGACGAAAGCGAGATGAAAAACTTGTTTTTTACATAAAAAATAATTTGCAAACTTGCATTTAGCCATGACTCAATTAAAATATAATTACCTGCTCGCATTCTAAAAAGTTCAAAATTTATTGCACCGATTAGCTGGAAAGTGATTTACAAAAAATAACTTAAATTTAATTATAAATGCAACATAAAAATTATTGTTTTTAATCATAACTCAACCGAAGATCAAGCAAGTCACACACCTAAAAAAAATTCCACGACGATGTTTACACTCTACACCAGTTGCAGTGCAAACAGAGTAAAAAAGCAAAAATTGATAACACTCAACAAAATTGAAGATACTAAAACGCTACGAACGCTCTATCGGCAGAATTGGCCGGCAAATGCACTCGGCTGCTACACGCTGGACAATTTCATCAAATGGCATGAACGCGATAAGCAGCTGCAGCACGTGCGTATCTACACGCTGGACGATGGCGAACAGTGGTGCTGCAATGGATTGCATTTGATTGTGGTGCGTTTTATGCGTTGACAGTCCAGAGAGAGGGTGGGAGGGGTAGAAAACAAAATGTTGTATCGACAGCATAAATAGTGATTGACACTTTAATGCCTTTCTGATTGGTTAGGATTATTTCTAACTGTTTGTGAATATACTGCCTGTTAAGGATGCCAAATTGCTTCTGAGAACGGCGTTAAAATTGCTTGACTGGTCGCAAGGCTACAAAATCACTGCCATACCGGATGTATACAACGGTACTGTGTGTGAGCTGTTGAATGAAATGCAATTGAAATGGCACGCTATACGTCTCAACATCTATCAACTAGCAAGAGAAAAAGCATTGAGTGTGAAAGCGAGGTAAATTAAATACATAAAAATATGCATGAATAAACTAGAATAAATTGAAAAACGGCTGCATATAAATAAATATATATTTGTTTATGTACACAGTTGCCCGCATGGCTTCGTAATGCGCGCTCTCCATATCGCCGACGCTCCGTTGATCAATGAATTTTGGCATGCCAGTAACGCAGGCACATTAAAAATCATAAGACGCCTGATTATCTACAATAACAACAGCATTGGCGTGTATACCGAAAACTCGCACGAATTGGTGGCTTGGTGTATAAGGTGTGTAAGAATTTAAGAAACTTAATTGGTACAAGTATTTAGTTTTTTTTTCTTTTCCAGATGCCAAAGTGGCTTTATCGGCATGTTGCATGTGAAGCCGGCTTTTAGGCGATATGGTTTAGCTTCATTACTTTGCCTAGCTTTGATACAAGACATTTGTGGCAGTGGTGACGAACTGCGCGCCATGATTCACGAGCATAATGAACCTTCGATAGCGTTGTGTAAGAAATTGAAATTTGAACAAGTTGGAGTGACGCATATAATACACGCCTACCATCCGGTAAACGGTGCAGCTTGGATTGAAAAATCGGAGAAGGCAAGAAGAAAATTGTAGCAGAACTGTTTTTTTTTAATTAAGTTTCTTAATTTTCCAAATGTATATGATAGAGATGATATAGGATTTTTGCAGTACTTACGAATCGATGCTAAAATGGAAGTAAATCAGCTGTGTGTGACCTAGTATTTAGTAAATAATTCTGGGTGCAACGTAACGTTGAAATATTCGCCACGGCTTTTCAATTTCACCAAAAAAAAATTCTCAAAAATCAACGCGATTTTTAGCCGTTTGAAACTTGCACTTCATTAGAATTATATGGGCTATAAAACTGCGTATCTAAATATGTTCCAAAAATTCAGAATAAAAAGTTCAAATTTTGATGAAAATTTGTTGAATTTTCCTAAACGGGATTTATTAAAGCCTAGACGATATTTTTATATAAAAATAACAAACAAAATTTAGCTGGAAAAATATTAGGAATATTTAAAAAAAAAGAAAACAACACGTGGTCATTTGTTTGAGTCAATGTATATAGAGCCGGCTGAGTTTGAACGATGGGTGGATTATGTTCACTTTACTGCTAACTTATATCGCGGGGTCCATTTTGAACCCATCAGTGTAGTTACTCAATGTCAAAGACTGTAAGTAGTAAGTGAGTATGTGGTGAAAGATTTATGATAAAGTTAATAAATAAATGTTTACTTAAAAAATCTGGAAACTCGTCCTAAATACTAAAGAATATTATTATCTAGGTCATTTCTGATTGATTTAGTTATTCGACATATTGCCCAAAACTTAACCGCTTTTGATTTTAAGGATTATAAAAAAAAAAAAAACTTTTTTATTTTTGCATGTACGTCCACGGTTTTTTTATATGTTCAAAAGCAAAATAAAATAGCGAAACAGCAACAGTGCTACCGCCTTCACTTCAGTTGAAGTTTTTCACTTCACTTGACTCATATATGTAATGCTTCTATATTGATAGTAACATATCTTAACAATGTATTTTTATTCCGCAATTAAAGGGAGACAGCCTATCAAATAAATGTTTGCTTGTGTTAGCATAACTGTATATTTGTGAACTATCACAAACAAACAACTGTCAAGTCACTCCAGGAGTGGTTTAAATTAAAAATATTAAAAAAATAGAAAAATAAAATAACCAAAAATTTTTCCCTGAACGTGATTGCGGCGAGCTTTGCGGTATCCGGAGGATTTGAATAAGCAGCAAGAGATGTATAAGTTACACTTGAGGCGATCACCATAACCACTCTTAAAAGATAGGATGAGAGGGTCCGTGCCTTCCTTTCCAGCACCTTAGCCAGCATGTAGCGTCTGCCCGTTTTCCCTGATACGGCTCATTTTGAAGTAAATAGTACAACATACCGACGCGTGCAATACGATATCTTTTTCCTTACTTTTTTGTTCAAAAGTTCCACACAAATTTTTTTTTGCTTTAATTAAAATTTCATTTTGTAAAATATTGACGGTTTCTGCACCGCTCCTGATTTTTTATTCTTTTTATACCGACCGTAAACCACTCTGAGATTTGGGAAACGGGCAAACTTTTGTTGTTTGGCTCAACTTGCCCATCAGAGCCCATACGACGAGGCGGAGGAAAATTAGCAACCGGAACCGACGAGAAACTGGAACAATTGTTCGATACGGCTGAATTAGTACCAAGGGAAGAATCAGCATATCTGTTGAGTTTTTGTCACGAAAATCACGAACTGCAGCAGCGGCATTCACACCTGCAGAATTACCAATAGAAAAGGCAGTTATATTTGCGACGACGATGATTTTTCATAAGCAATTTTGTTATTGGTACCAACAGAGCAAACGTTAGCGCGAAGATCTTTGACTCGGCTGTGAGCGTTGTAATTGCAGAGACAATCTCTTCATAGTGAAGTTTCTCTTTATCGAGTGAAGCTCGGACTGCAAGCATTCGATTTTGTTGACCATACACTTCTTAACTTCATGGAGTGCATTAATTAGCGAAACGGCACGGGCCCTAAGAGTAGCAGTCTCCTTTAGCACTAAGTTTAGATTAATGTTATTGTTGGCATCTTCGAAAGACCCACTTACTTTACTGGTTAGTTGATTAGGCGAGACACTTTTAGGAATTTTGTGCTGCAGTAGGAGGTTGTTATTGGATTGGACACCGATGTCTTTGCAATAGCAACAACACTCTCATTAAGAATAGCAGGAGGAGGCGAAAAACTAAAAGGCTTTCACCGAGCATCAGCACACACTTCGCACAGAAAAGGCCTCTCTGAGTTAAGCAAAAACTCAGCGTCTGCCGGCAAACGATTCACATATTCCAAATGAAATAGTTCATTCCACTTTGCGTACTGGATTTTGCGTTGCGAACACTCAACCTTATGGTTACAGCAGCAAGGCCTTTAGATTTGGAACATCTTTTTTCGTTATTTGTTTATAATACACAAGAGTCACTGTCTCAAAAATTTATGCACGAACAGAGAAGAAAGTTCATTATGCTTTAATAATCTATTCGATACTAATAAAATTATAGAACCCATTACCAAAAATGCGGAAACCGAGACCGATAAAATAACACGTCCGAACGCAACAAATGTTAACACCTAGAATATAGAGAAATTCGTCTACTTGGGAACCAGCATTAAAAACGATAAAATTGTCAGCAGCGAATCCAACAAGTGCTGCTTTGGACCGAGTAGGCGATTCAGAAGTAAAGTCCTCGCTTGACGTACGAAAATCACACTCTATAAGTCACTCATCATGCCCGTACTGGTACATGGCTCAGAAGCTTTGAAAATGACAACGTCCAATGAGGCGGCTCTTGGGAGTGTTCGAAGGAAAGAATTTGAGGAAGATTCACTTGACCTTCCCAATTGGCTTCAGTTGGCACAGGGTAGAAAACACTAGCGTGTCTTGTGGAACTCGGCCAAAATCTCTTAGGCACTAACAGTGCCAAATAAGAAGGAGAAGTTGTGAAAAACTATGTAGAGTTGCTGTGCAACTTCGTTTCTTATCTCCCAGCTATCAGTATGTCATGTCGACCCATAAAGACGGATATCTCGCCGGTCTTGCTCTGCAGTTCATTGCAGTTTAGTTGTAGCAGTTTCGTACACCTTGGCAGGCTAGTCGCGATATGGGTACGCTTGCCGCTGTGGTTGTTACTACCGGGTGGTGAATGATTGTGTGGATATCTGTGCCTGCAGAAGTCTACAACAGGGGACGCCCGGAGCGTTGCTCCTGTGAGCTTCTTGCAGCCGTGTTGCTTGAGCAAAGTTTGTGGTGCATTCCCTGCGAGACCTAAGGCCTGAGCAGGTTTTTAGGTGACTTCTTACGTTATAGGTGTTGCACCTAACCGAAATGAAGCTCGGCTGGAGTCGTCTCTGGCAGACACAGCAGGAGTAGATTTCTGGTCCGGGGTTGAGGTCAATGCCCGCCCGCAGAAGAAGCAAGCGAAGCAATCCAGCTACAAGTTATTGCTCTATGGACGAAAAACGAATGATTGATAGATCGGCGAAACCCATCTAAACGGGTTGAGGTAGCCGAAACAACAGCCCTTTGTCGAGAAAAACCCGAATCACTCCAGTGCATAGAACCAGCTTTGTATTCAAGGGGGCCGATATAATTGCATTTCTTGAAACTAAAAGTGGATTTACGAGTTTCTGGCAGACCCATTTTCAGAATAATAACAATATAATTTTCTGAATAAAAAAATGATACCAAGCCTTGCTCTTTATACGACAGAAAGTCACTTTTGCACCATGCGCTAACAAATATTTTCTTTCAATCTAGAAGCCAATACTTTTGTAGATTCATTAGATAGTTCCAGATCCCTTTTCAAATCATTTAATTTTTCTTAGATGAAGCGTGGATGAGGAGGCGATCGATAGCAAATTACATAATGGAGTCTATCGGGCACTCGGAACGGATGGTACAGCAAACTATCCGAAGATGGATTGCTCGACCGCTCCAAAAGATAATCGCTTAAACTGAAATTGTGTACAGCGTAGTACAGGTGCAACCAACAAAAAGATGCCCGCAAGGATGGGTTACCCCTACGTAGTCGACGAACTGCTACAAATCCTCTCGAATAATGGCCAGGAGTACGTGGATGACATAGTAATAATAGCTAGAGGAAAGTTCGAAAGTACCCTCTGCGATATATCTAATACAAAAAGGTCTAAGTTTAACGAAGAGTTGGTGTACCAAAGCGGTGCTTAATATCAACCCTTCCAAGACAGTCATAGTGCCCTGGAAAAGGAACCTTTCAAATAGAATGTATCTCTGAATGAGGTCAAAGTTAATGCTTCCGCCGAGGTTAAATATATAGGTCCAATGCTGACCTCGAAGCTTCTGTGAAGATCTCACGACAATGCGGCCACATCAAAAGCTACGAAAGTACGGATGGCATGCAGGCCCTTAGCAAGCAATTCCTGGAGATGCAAAAACCCTTATATGGATGTACACTATAGTACGGCCAATAGCGAAAACTTGGGGGTGGCTGGGGCTTCAAGAGTAGTGGCTGCCTCGGCGCCAATAGGACCCGAGCATTCCCTGTAATAGGTCCAAATACAATAAGGGAAGAGCGAAGGAAAGGTACAATAAGTAGGAGAGAACAACACTACCACTGTGCAATAGGACTACGCCAGGCCCAGAGGTTACTGGGAAGGTATAACCTAAAAAGGTACAAACAACTAAACAGCCTCCCCAAACAAAAACATAGCAGGCTAAGAGGGCATCTGCATAAACTGGAAATCTGGGCGAATTACCTCTGTCGTTTCAGTGACGCAAATGTGGAGACGCCATGCACCTGCTACTTGAATATGTTGCTGTATCGAGGCAACGAGAAAGAGCGCACACATTCCCCAGCTCCAAAAGCTATTCTGGAGTTCATATTGCTACATGATGTGTTAAAATGAGTGGAGGGCACAATACACCAACTAGGTATTTTAGAAGAGGGTCCTATATTGTAACCCCTTGTTTTTTTCCAAAATAAAGGGCGCGTTTTGTCTTGTATTTCTTAAACTGTCCTTTAAATGAGCTCTGGATTTTAAAAGGGTCAATTTTTAAACAGAGAATATAACAGAGCAAAAATAAAAACGTCCCTTACAAAATATAATGAAAACCTTCGCCAGTTTGTGCGCACCCCTCCTCTGTACACGCTATAAATCATGAACGAGTGCTAATACTTATTAAAAAGTGAAATTTATGTAATTGAAAGTATTAAACTAATATTTAGATATATTAATAGAAAAATTGAAAAATAACAATACAACTCCATTGAAAAAGAACAGTGAAACCCGCTGG